CCACGCCCGGGGGCGGGCTGGGCGAGGCGTCCAGGGCAGGACATGCTTAACCCCTAGGCGTCCAGACACAACTTCTGAGCGGAGCTTTTGTCAAGCCCAGTGTGTGGCTCATCTAGAAGTGTCTTGTTTGGCCCTCTTGTCTGTGGATTCAGAGAGGACAGCAAAGGATGTAGATAGGGTTAGTCTCCATCAAATTCGTCTTCTACCCAGGTCTGAAATGAGGGAATCTGAAATGAGGGATCTCTGTGGAAGATCCACTCCCCACACCTCCCTATTTAAGAATGGGCCATGGGGGCCTCCCTGGTGGCTCAAGGGGTTAAGTCACAGCACTATCAAGGCAGCCACTGCCAAAGTTCAATCCCTGGCCAGGGAGGTGACCCAAATGGCACAGCAGACCTCTCCTGTCTCACCCACTGCTCCCCTCAGCAGTGTATTTCAATGGGTCGGCCTGTTCTGTTCCCCACTCTGTCTCTGGTGAATCCTCTCACCCCAAGAGGTGTCTCTGGCCTGTACCCGAGTTCTTGTATGCATAAATGAATAAATCTTAAAAAAAAAAAAAAGAATGGGCTATGGAAACCTTGATCACAGGTCACAGTCATTTGAGAAATGCAAAAAATGGTCAAAAATGAGCTCCCTCCCAATTCTGGGGTAGGCATTCATTTATATGGGATGGCAAGTCTTGAGCTTCTGTGTGAGCACCCCAGCACTCCCCAGCCCTGTTACCCCTGGAACTGTGTGTGACTTCACAGGGTAGATACAGCACTGAAGCTGGAAGTCACAGAAAGCCTTCACTCAGTACAGCTCACAGAGCAAGGAAGCCACCCAGAAACCCCCACAGGAGCTGCCCAGGGGAATGGAAGTGTTCTGGAAACTGTCTTGTATACATTGTCCTTCATTTCAATGACAACCAATGAGAAAGGTAGTATTATTGCCCCTGGTTTCTGGACTTAAAGAGGTAAAATCAACTTGCTTAAGGTCATGGAGCTAAAAGGTGCCTGGCCCCAGGTTTGTGTAACCAGCAGTGCTTTGTCAACTAGGTCTCAAAGTTTAGCTGCAATTCAGATTACATTCCGGGACACACCCTCCTCCCCACCACCCCATAGAACACACCTGCACACAGAGCTGTCCAGCCCTAATCTTCTCAGAGCAGAATCACACTTGTTCCTCAGTGACTCTTACTAAGGATCCGCAATGGCTCTTACCTTGGTAGACCTGTAGAATTTTTCAAATTTGCCTTTTCTCTGAAATAAACTACCCCATCCTCTGATCCATAATCAACATGTTCTCAACCCTTACAACATAACCCAAAGACAAAGAGGTCAACCATGGAGACTCATCAAGTTCATTCACTCAGTTAGCATTTTTTGTGAACCTACTGTCTGCCAAACACCTAGCAGGGTGCTCATGGGAACAGGAGACGGGTCTAGGAGCAGAAGAGGGGGAACAAGATAAGGCACTAAGATCACAATCCAGAAGACCCACCATGACCATTTGGGATTCTCAATCAGGTAGATTGACAAGAGAACTGTAAAGGGATAATTATATCATAGCATAAGAGAAGTATGAACTAAGTGGAGGTACAAAGGTAAAAATACTGCTAGTTATAGACCCAGAGTTATAGAAAATCCCTAAAGTGCTGACTTTTATGTGGAACGTGATGAATGAGTGTTTCTCCAGACAGACACAATAGGAAAGGCCATTCCAGGCAGAGGAAATATGGCATGACTATCTTAGAGAGGACACAAGGAATATACACCATAATGAAAAATTGATAAATTATATGTTGCCGAAATTCAAAATGTCTATTCACAAAAAATACATGCCAACAAGAAAACAAAGAGGCAAACCACAGATTAGAAGCAAATATTTACAAAACTTATATCTGACAAAGTAATTATACAGGCAGAATAAAGAACTGCCACTCAAAAATAAGATAACCCAATTTTTAAAAAATGATCATAGACTACACAGACACTTTATGAAAGAAGATATACAAGTGGCCAGAATAAGTGGAAAGCCCTCAACATCAGCAGTCATGAGAAAAATTAAAACCACAGTGAGACACCACACACGTACCTACCAGAATGGTTAAAATTAACAACTGACACCACCAGATTTTGGAGAGAATGTAGAGCAATCGAAACTCATGTCACTGGTCAGAATATTAAATGGTACGGCCACTTTGAAAACTGATAGTTTCTTTAAAAGTTAAACATTTACCCAGGGGTGTACTGGTAAATGTCTAACTAATGATTTCCCAGAATCAGGACAAGCTCTACTTGTAGCATTTGCTGGTTTCCCAAATGTAAATATTCCCACCTTGGCCCATTTCACGCTGCCAACCTGACATCACTGAGCGTTGACTCGGGGAGAGAGGAGCACAGCTGCCTCCTGCCTCCAGCTCACCTCTGCCCAGCTCACCTCTGCATCTACCCCATGACCTAGCACTGCTCCGGGGTAGTTCCCTAAGAGAAATGAAAAACATATGTCCACAGAAAAGAATGCGGATGGCAGCTTTATTCATTAGCACCCAAAGTCAGAAACAAGACAGAAGTTCATCACAAGAGAACAGATAAATCAACTGCACCACAGTCATACAATGCAGCACTACTATAGACAGAGATACGGAATCCACCAACACATGCACCGTGACAACTCTCGAAAATACCGTGCCATGTGAAAGAAGTCAGAAGTGAGAAGGCCATCTTCTCTGATGGCATTTATGCAAAATTCTAGAATAGTCAAAACTCACCAAGTTGATAGACATCAGATCTTGGTTACTGGCAGAGGAGAGACGAGCTTGACTGGGAAGGTCCACCAGCAAACCTTCTGGGGCGAACAAATGTTCTGGGTCTTGGTAGGTATTGGACAAAACAAAACACTTAAGATCTGGGCATTTCACTGTCCACATTACACTTTTAAAAGAAAAAGGCAGCACAGCTTAAAAGCCTGGATTTCCCTTTTCTTGAACATTCAGGGTATCTTAGGAGCAGAGGACCACAGCCCAGCATGGGGGGCTACAATGCAGTCGGCTGGGCACCTGGACCTCAGGAAGTAAACTGTGTTTCTCTTATTCTTTTAGCACTGCTGCATTATTTGCTTTGCCGCCCGCTGTGGCTATGAGGTCCCCCAGCCACAGTGCAGTGTGTGGGCTGGGCGCCAGGGGCACTGAGGTCCTCAGGCCTGGTCCTCCCAAAGCTGGCTCAACTCTACTTCACTTTTTCTCTCTCCTTCCCCATTTTTGAGGAGTACATTTAAGGAACTTGAAAAGTTAGTTTATCTCCCAGTTCTCTCCATTCTTTCATAAGTTCCTTCAACATTCCCTCCCTTCCAAAACCTTCCATCCCTCTTCTACATAAACACAGGTATATGCTAATTATTAAATAGCCCCAAAGCGGTCAGGAGTCCCTGTCTCCCAGAGGTCTACAGTAACTGGAGCACAAAAATTGTAACTAACCTGTCAAAGACCATCTGAGATATTTCGCTTAGAGCATTGTTCTGCTGCTGCAGAATTAGCTACGTATTCGTGAGAACATTATTCAAAAACTCTGGCTTCATTTTCTTATTTGCAAATAGGCTGAGTAATTCCTACCTCCATGGGCTGTCTATCTGATAAAATGACATAACTGTGGAAAAAAAACCCAGCATGTTTGGGGGACTTAGTTTGGGGCTAGTTTCCTCGCCCCCCCCCCATTTTCATTGCAGTTAATCTTCACTATAAATATTTTCATCATACTGCTTTGAATTTTCCATCAGGCACCTAGTGCAGAGCAAAGCTGGGACCCCAGCCCTGGTCTCAGCATTCCTTCCGGTCCTCAGTGCACAGTGCTTCCCAGGCTGGAAATCAATCTGGCTCAGGGTGCAATAGCGAACTCCACCCTCTCAGGCTACCATTTCTACAATTCTGGAAAAACAGCATAAGAGGGCCAGGTGCAGGAAGATGGAAAGGCTCTTGTGTCACACAAACAGCAACATTCCTTTCACACCTCCTACCTTCCACTCCTTAATTAGTCTTTTACAAACCTAAAGTCTCCTTGACTTTTCAAACTTTTATAAAGAGTTTCTTGTAGGTCTCTTGGAGACTGAATGTGAGGCATTTGTAAAACTGCACACAATACATAGGATTTCCTATTGCTTTTCCATATTTTCTGACGTGCCCTTTCCCATAAACACAATGTACTAGCAGTCATTGTCTACTTGCTCCCCACAGCTCCCCTCAACTCCTTAACTTTGCTCTCATTGACATTCCATCTACTGTAAAAATAGCCGGTTCCAAGGGCCTCCAAACCCTGCTGGTTCTTCTCCTTAATGACCTGATTCCCAAAGTTAAGGTTTCTCCAGTCTCCTTCTTACTGGACCTTCTTTGGACACCTCAGCATGGACTACGCAGTGCTTTCCTGTCCTCTGGGCTGTAGCTTATGCTCCTTCCCCACCTCCCTTCACACACTACCCATCCTTCAAAACTCAGCTCAAATGCCAGCTTCTTTGTGAAACTTTCTCTCAGTCTCCAGCTAGAAGGAATCTCTCCCTTCATCTGAACCACAGGATGAAGTTTCTTTTCTAAACTTCTCTTTTATGTCACTCATATCATCCCCTGTGTCTGGATGAATGAGATGAACAGATCGGCAGATAGGTGAGTAGATGGATGGACAGATAGATGGATAGAAAACATATGAATTGTTGAGTGCATACATAACAGGCTGGCAACATTTTCAAGAGCAATAAGATGCACTCATACCTCCGTGTTTGTATCCTGTTAATTTATTTATTTAATATTTATTCAACAGCTTCTGTGTCTTCTCTAGTCATCCACAAAACATTTCATTTCTGATCTCAGGACAGACATTGGAAACATTTCATTCAGGCTGGACCACAAATGCTCAATATATATGGATGACAGAGGGCCAGCTGTATTTTATTTGCTGCTAACCCGAAACCTGTTGAGTTTTTACTAGTGTTCAGAGGTAGATGTCAACATATTTCTTGTTTCTACTTTTGAGGTCCCAACTGAAAGGGCAGTCAGTCCAGTCTGTGTGCTCATTTCTCAGATGAGGAACCCCAGGCCTGGGGAAGGATGGTGATGGGCCCAAGATCAGACAGGTAAGGCACAACCTCTGCCTTATTCCCAACTCCCACTTTCTTACTCTGCCCTTTAGACTAAAAAACCTAAAGCAAGGGGGCTGACATTTCCATTCTAGGTATATTTCAAGACTTGCTGGAAGAAGCAGTAAGGTTTGTTAAGAAAAGCCAAGACTTCTCTGAAGAGAACTAAAATTTCTTCTCTACATTCTTTCAATGTTTAATGTTATTAGGCTGATGCCACTTATACAATGAAGAGAAAAGTAGTCTGCCTTTGACTACTTCCTGAAAGCTCTGGAAGATTCCTGAGCTGTGTTTGCACAGTTAGCACTTTTCATCATAGAAAATGAAGGATCGAAGACCTGTGCGGTCTTGGCTCTGACTTTTCTTCGTAGCAGATTTCTAATAACCTCTAGAATTCCTCTATTATCAGACCAAGAGTTAACCATTTGTCTGCTCTGGTGAGGTAATCACTTCTCACCATTTTTACTGAGGAACAAGTTACTCAGATAAACTGTGCACTATTAATTTTTCTGACTTTACTAAAGAATATTGTGGCTTCTTTATTCCAAACTACAACTCAACCATGCCTGGCAGGGATTTCTAAAGTTTTGACTCAAAATTTCTAGAAACACCTTTGGTTCTGTTTAATATCATTTCTTGACAACGATGGTTAATAGCCTCAGTTCTCTTCCTTTAACAATCCCACTATCTGCCTCAAAACTCTACTCGAATAACAACTTATCTATATATATCATACATACAACCCAGTGGCTATTATAATCATGGGTATTAAAATTTTCTTTCCTTTTTTTTCTTTGTATTTTTTATAAGTAATGGTTTACAACACTGAACATGATTTGGAGATATAGGTTCATACCTCTTTAGATGTATGTTACCATACCCACCCGCCACCAGAGCTCCCATAATCCTCAATCAAAAAATTTTCTTTAATTGTCATTTTCTCTCAGAAAGTCCAAAGATAATAGGAAGAAAGTGGGAGACAACAATCAGAGAACGGGGACTCTACGGGAGGGTGTCCTTGCAAGAAATTGACCTCCTTCCCCAGCAACCAAACAGCAATTATGACTGACCAGCCAACCCGAAACGCGTCCTGCTTTTATGAATTTCCAATCAATACCTAAAATGCCAGAAGTTTCTTTTGAAATTTAAAAGAAGAGAAAGAGGGAGGGAGGAAGAAAAGAAGAAATCCAAACAGTGGACAAAAACCAGGCGCTGCGGCCCCCACTCCAGCTTGAGAAGCGGCAACAATGGTGAGAAATCAATGCCCAGAACCACAAGGCAGCTTTCAGACACCTCTTGACCTTGTCACTTCCTGGGTAATTAAGAGGCACTACAGTTCCGTGTCACTGTCAGGGGCTGAATGTATATCGATAGACAGATATATATGCTCTTAAAAGATTCTTTTTCTACAGCCTTGGTCAGGATCCTGCCAAAGAAAAGGGGGAAAAGAAAAGCATTTTGTCCAGAGCGCACTCAAAGAAACATGAAAGGAGAAACCTAAATTTTTCAGCACAGTCTGCCTCTGACATGGGAAAATGGCGCAGAAAAGAATAGATGGCTTGTTCGCTGTTGTTTTTTTTTTTCCTTCGTTCCCTTGAGAGAGTATCTCTGTGAATGTGTGGTAGGCAGCAGGGCACCCCTCAGATACCTGAAGAGCAATCATGCAACCCTGAGGTCTCCAAGACCAGCAGAGAGGTTGCTGGCTGCATGTGACCCCTCAGGTAACCACACCCCTTCTTTGGACCTCAGTTTCTCCAAATGAAGGAAATTGAATTCAGTCCTCTTTGGAGCTGTATCCATGACTGACATTCACTGAGAGCATGAGAAATGGGTTCTGTCTTCTCATGCTGCCAAGAAAATAGGGGAACATGGGAGGCAGGGAGAGCAGGAGTGGACCTCCCCACCAGCCATGGTGACCACTCGGAGCCAGGGAGCCCCACAGTCAGACACTAGGAAATCTACCAATCCATTGGGCAAAGACCATGAAGGCCCTTCACCAGCTCTGACCAGGTGGCTTTTGGGGACACCTGTGTTCTTTCCTGGCAACACATGTCTGGGAGGCCCCACTCAGATTATGGGTCACAGTTTGCTTTGAAAATGGAGACAAGAAGAATCTCCATCATGGGCTGTTTTGATGCCCACATGGCATCTACCTGGGACTATATTTTCTAAGTCCATTAGGGCCTAGCAAGAGTTGGTGGCAGAGTCCATCCTGAGACAACATCAGTAGCATGCCCTCACCAGAATGACTCTTCTCTCTTCGTGGCCCCTGGCACTCACTGACTGGCTCCTCCCCTCTTCCCCAGCCAACCTAGCAGTAATGAAAATGCATGGTTGTCTGAGCAGGTGGCAGCAACTCCTCTGGACTGTGAACTCCCAGGGGGCAAGGCCTGGGGCTCACCCACCCTTGAATACCTCCCTCCAGCTCCCAGTCCCATGCCTTCACACAGCAGGTCCTCAGAAGAGGGTGGTTTGGAACAGAATTCTCTATATTTAATTTACAAATCGTTATGGTTGTTATGATTACAAAATAAACTACAGACTAAATTTTTGTGGCCCCCACACTCCCATCCCCAGTGTGATGTTATTTGAAGGTGGGATCTTTGGGAAATCATTAGGTTTAGACAAAGTCTTGAGGGGGGACCCCAGGATAGGGTCAATGCCCTCAGAAGAAGAAGACACCAGAGCCTCCTGACTCTACAGAGTGTAAGGACACAGCAAGAAGGCAGCATCAGGAAGGTTGCAGCCAGGGAAAGGGCCCTCACCAGACATGGAATATTCTGGCACCTTATCTTCCCCATCCTTCAGAATGCTGAGAAATAAATGTTTATTGTTTAAGCCACCTGGTCTATGGTATTTTGTTATAGCAACCCAAGCAGACTAAGACAGGGTCTTTGGAAGGGGCAGTTTTGGACGTCAGCTTTTTCACATGCACCTATTAAAAATAAAAATGAAACCGACTAAACCAAAAAAGACATTTTACCAAGCACCTCCCATGGGGGACTAAGGAACCAAGAAAGAACTATTTCCTGCTCAGAACTCAGTCCGGTGGGGGAAATGACCAAGTACAGGAGTCATTACGATCTCAGACATGAAGTAAGCCATTAGTCCTGTTTGAGCCACGAAGATAGAGGCCTTGGAGACTTCAGAAAAAAGAGGGATAGGCTGTAGTATAAATGGGGGCAGGGCTGGGGAGAGACAGAAAGGGACAGTTTCCTGCAGTAAGTGGCATCCGAGCCAGGTCTAGGAGGAAATGGTGGAAGCACTTGTGCATAAAGGAAATTGGGAGGGAAGCAAAAACCAGAGACTGCAAGACAGGAAGTGGGGGGAGGTGAGGGGAATTTGGAGACTAGTGACCATAGCCTTGCATTTTATGCAGAGGTGCGATATAATGAGGCTAGAAAGAAACTGTGTTCTGGCTGAAGCAATGATGATAAGGGGCCCCCATCCCACACCCTCTTTGGAGTCAGGTTTAAAACCGTAAGAAACTTGGGTTTTGTATTCCTATTTCTAGTCTCATCTCCACTGAAATGGATCCCCCAATCTCAAGCCCCACCCTCTTCACAAGGAGTGAGGATGGACAGCTGAACAACCAGTGTGGCCTCCCAAGCAGCCGTGGGAAGGGGCTGGCTTGTCTGCTCCCCCTCACTCTCTTCCGCCCGCTGTGAAATCCGTATCAGCTGGAGAAGCCCAAGAGATCTGTCTCCATCTGTTCTGGGCATGGCTGGTGGGAAAGCCTGGGATCTGAGAGGGCAGCTTGGCCCATCAACATGACAGAGGCAGCCTAAGGGGTGGAGGTGGGGGGGTGGGGAAGGCACCTACTGCAAAGACATGCTCAGCCAGCCCTGGGAACAGCTGCCCAGTCATGGGGCCAGGAGGCTCCCAGCTTCCCAGCCGTGCTCGAATCACCCATTTTGTAGCCTTGTTGCTAATGATGCAATTAAGTTCATCAGAAAAACATCTGTTTGGATTGCTAGGGACAGTGGGTATGTTCTGAAGGAAACTCACCAGGCAGGGATCTTGGGTGGCTAAACAAGCAGGGGACTTGGGTGGCTAAACAAGCAGGGCCCTTGATGTCCCTAAGAGCCTGGAAACTCCCCTCCAGACTTCATCTGTCTCTGACTAGACCAGGAAGTATCCTCAGCCAAGAACCCAGACAGGCTGGTCCACAGCTGTGCCACTCTCTGCACGTCCCAGGGCTGGCTGCCACCAGCTACCGTCACCCTCCAGAGTTCCCCACAGCTCTGTGAGACTGGGCGGGGATATACTTTTGAGCAAATACTAGATGAGCAGCTGTTTTGTTCAGGGATATTATCTTAGCGGTTTCCTCTAAGAGCAGGGCTGGAAACAAGTCCCATACAGAGGTTCATTCAGGTGATGGTCCTAAGGAACACAAGGGAGGTACGGTGGAGTAGGAAACAGGAGGGGGGGAGCCAATACTAGGTGCATTACTGAGGCCACTTCCTTCTGGGCCCAAGTCTCAATCCCTTGGCAACTGCTAATGAGCTTTGTGGAAAGTGTCTCAGAATTGCTGCTGGAGAATGAAAGGGAGAAGAGTTTATCCACACATTGCCATCTCTTTCGGTCAGAGGCTGCCTGTGCAACTCCAGGATGCATGTCATTAAGTATCCATGCACCGCACTGCCAACCCCCAGGGTGGAAATTGAGAGGCAACAAGGTGATCCAGGGTGGGTGCCGCGAGGACACCTACATGAAGCTGCCCAGAGCCTGGGAGCAACTGGGTGTCACCCCATCGCTAGCGTCAGACAGTCTGAAGAGGACATTATGGAAAGACTTGGAGAATTGGATCTGCTTTTACCATGTCTGTCCCAGATACATGTAGATAAGTCCTAGGCACAGGCTAAATCCACTTGAAGCTTGTTCCTTACTATTTGCTACATTGGGGTCCTATGGCTGCTCTGATAAATCAACATAAACTTAGTTTCTTAAAATAGCACAGATGTATTATCTGACAGGGCTGAGGTTCTAGTCCAAAATGCATGTCACTGGGCTAAACTCGAGGTTGGCCAGGTTGTTTTCTTTCTGGAAGAGCTAGGAAAGAATCTGTTTTCTTGCCTTCCAGCTACCATAGGGTGCCTGCATTCCTTGGTTTGTGGGCCCTTTCCATCTCCAAGGCCAGCAATGGCCAGCAGAGCCTTTCCTGCACTGCATCATTCTGACTGGCTCTCCTGCCTGCCTCGTCCACATCATATGGGGCCCACCTAGATAGGCGAGGACAATTTCCCCATTTCAAGGTGGGGTGGCATGCACATTAATTCTATCAGCAAGCCTTATTCTCCTTTAGCATGTAAAATAACAGTCACAGGTTCCAGAGATTAGGTTGTGGACCTCTTTGGGGAACCATTCTTCTACCTACTACAAATACTCTTCTGCCTCCCTGAAAAGAAGAGCCCCGGTATTCACGTGGTTCAATGAGGTTGAGGTGATCCTTAGAGAAAGAAAGAGAGATCCTGGTTGTCCCCTGAAGCTGTCCGTAGGATCCTAATCTTCCTGGCAAAGCAGCCTGCTTTGCCAAGGACAAGTCCAATAACAGCAGGAGACAGATAACTCAGGAGCTCCAGACTGGACTGGTCCTTCATGGAAAAGACCCTGAACTTCATGGACAAATAGTCTGAGTTCTACTCTTAACTCACTAATAAGCTTGCTTTGTGACCTAGAGCAGGCCACGTGACCCTTCCAAGCCTCCATGTCCCCCGCTATAGAGCAGGGTCGGTACCTTAGGGAATTGGCAGGATTAGAAGTCACTTTTGCAACCTCTAAAAATGTCTGTCGGAGACCTACTGTATGACCAGCACTCCTCTAGACCTGCGAATACAGCAGGGAACCAGGCCAAGTTCCAACCCTCGTGAAGCTTATGTTCTTGTGGGTTGTGACAACAGATGCTCAATAAATTGAAGGCATTCTCAAGGAAATACTACCACATCTTAGTCTTTTACTGATTCATGATATGCCAGATGTGATCACAGTTAGGACCTCATTCAATGTTCAAAACAATAACTCAGAGAGATAGGTCAGGTAGGGGCCCACCCCATGGCTCTTCCTGCTGCCCTGGTGAGATCTATGTCCAACCCAAGCACCCCCAGCTGCAGAGCAAACTGCCTCCTGCCCTGTTTCCAGGCTTTCATTAGGCAAGGGTTAGGGAGGGAGAAACCAAAGTCTGAAAAAATTAGAATGGCTCTTCTCTAGAGCTACAGATTCCGTGCAATCTTTTAAAGCCATGGTCACCTGGTGTAAATATTTTAACCAAATTAGGGTGTGGGGTAATTATTGTACCTCTCTTTTTGCATTCAGCACCAACTGCCTTGCTTTAGCATGCAAGCTTCCTTGTCTCTCTCTCCCGCAGAGCTGAGAACTCATCGCCTAGGGAGGACAAGTGAGGTGCTTTGCAATTATTTAGTAGCTGGCAGGAAGTATTTGCTAAATCTGCTCTCTCGCCCATTATAAGGACTCTTGGTGGAGGAAAAGATAGAAAAGCCTCAGGTGGTGTCCCCTTGCATGACAATTTCTCTCTATTCATCTATT